ACACCATTAGCTATAACTTTATATTTATTTAATTGATATTGATATGATATATGAATTCGATATACGACTACGCCATGGGTAACAATCTACCACTATATACCCATATCGTATCTGTCAGTGTTTTCAATATCTACACATGTACTGCTCACTGTAATATGGTTTATCGCCGTTTTTTTTTTCTAAAAACAGAATGGATTGTATCTTATCTTGATACCTTCCATGACCGACAAGGCATCAAGTAATCAGAACGCATCCCCGAGCGTTTTCGATGGTACACTAGCGTACTACACAACTGTGATATCGTTCTAGCTAGCCTTAAGGCATCGGTAATTATGGGCCTTCTGTGAGCCTGTGCACTAATAGGGTTCCGCTCCCCTGTTATAAGGTAGTCTTGTTTTGCGACTCCGATACCTAGCTCACTTCCATACTTGATATCACATTATCATTCTCTTAATTACACCGTTGCCATGGCAAGCGACATTCGTATTTCGCAACCTTTCATATCATGTAAATTCGAGTGTGGTATTTTTCCGTTCACACATATACGACCAAGTCATGTCTAGGAGTTGTGTAAATTAGCATATTGTTATCTAGTTTTTAATTCATGCGAAATTTCTTATTATATCTCATTTTACGACTTGATTGTCCACTATTAGCATATCGTTTTCTTTTCCATCAATGCCTTTTCATTGCAACCTCTTATTTTATTATTATATAAAAATATGTATATATGCTAATATGATAATATATATGTTTCAATTGCAGAATTTGTGGAGAGTATTCACTATTCGTGTTCGAAACCGGATAATTAGTCGGTTACGCATTTAAATACCCACATGTGACTTGGCGTGTGGCAACACGACCGTTGCGTTTGTTTGCTATGCGTATTTTTGTTAGCGAGAAGAATTGTGTTCCATTCAATATGCAATATATCAGTTTCTCGCAACTTAATTCATGTGTGTGCATTATTATGAAGTCAATTAGTTGTTCGTCATTTATGCATGTAATATAATATAACACGTGATATCACATACTTATGCACAATGACTCGCATACTCGCTTATGGTAATAAACATCGCATATACACATAGAGAATTTCGACAATTAACTACACACCAATTCAAAAAAATGAAAACGTTAAGAAAAATGCGAATATCGACAAAAATAGTGAAAGGCCTTTTTTGTGTTATATTTTACACAAATACGCGTAAACGGGACGGGGTAATGTTTTTGGATGAACCTCGACATCGTACAATAACCCCTTCTTGTATTTCTAGCTATGACATCACAACTATTCAACCCTTGGAATATTGGACATTGGCAGACGCTACTTTGCGTGGTTTACACATAGTTGATTTAATGGTTAAGACGTAAGGGCGCAGTGCAAGTAGGGGAACGAGTGAATTACGATAGAAGAGTTTAGAGAGCAAATTATAGATAGTGAAAATACCACATGTGTACCACATGCCATATTTTCCTGGTGTTACTTACAACATACCAACGACATAATGTATGTACGTACGATTTATTTTTCACAAGTGTTGTTGATTTTTCGAGCCGATTCAGTCACATCACGGCAGCCTGCAATAAAGGTCGTACTAATATTATTCCATTTATGGTATAATGTTATTTTCAGGGTTTCCCGCCCTGCAACTTTAAAGAGCATGACGTATACAAGTACAGTCCGGGGTTTCCCACCCTGTAATTTAAAACAGCACGATATATATAAATACACCAGCATGTGTTGTAAATGTAACAACTAATGTGCATAACTGTTGACAGTTTTTTTCTAGCGAAAATATTGACTCCCACTGCTTGCCTAATAACGCTTATTTTAATGAGCTGCTCATATGTGAAAGTGGTGGTCGAAATGCCCCAAAGGTCCCTTCGTGAATATTTTTTTTTCACTCTCATAATGTGAAAATGGTGGAAGAATCCTCCCGATATTCCTCTCGTGAATAATGATTATTTCTCTCTTGTAAGTATAAGTGGTCTGGAAAAACGCCCTAATAGTCCATCGGCTTCGTGAATAACAGTTTCTTTCATATACATACGTTGTAAAGGTACACACTTGATATGACATTTAAAAATCATATGACAATTAAAATTAATTTATTTGATATTCATGTGTTGCCCACAGCAACGAGAGAAAGTATTAAATTAGTCAAATATTATCAATCCTGGAGCACAGTGATTTCGTTTAAACGTTTAATATCCTGGTCTTGTTTACATCAACGTTCGTATATTTGTGCTGTTGACATTTAACGAGTGTTGAAATGTTGCAAAATTAACACCGGGACATTTTACTTCAGCATCAGAATATACGTGAATATACGTTCATGCACATGCACGTTTTTGTGCACATGTCAGTGATTCCTACATAGAGGCGCGGGTCTAACAGTTATGGCGCGGAACCGACAGAAAGGGTACAAGACTAAGGTGGAAATTCAGTATTTCAAAGACTCAAGGGTGAAGTAGGCGAAGCGGGAATCGGGTGGAGTAATATAGTTCTACATTTAGAGAAATAAGATTCCCATTACAGGGAATGTATTAGCTATCAAAAATCCATGTTATCCGCCCTTATCCTGTTGACTGTACTCCTGCTGGCCGTACTCCTCCTGTTGTCCGCACTCCGCCTGTTGTCCACACTCTCCTGTTGCCCCACATTCCCCGATTCACTCTGTTTCCCGCACTCTCTCCACAGATAACTCTGAATTAATAAAACAAGTAGGAACATGTAGGTCGTCGTGAGTTGTAATTCATTGTGAATATTTGGGCTTATTTCGTTATTATTGCATGTGTAGTCTTACATCGTGGGTTCTCATAAACAATGGAGGCTAAGTAGTGAAACCAAACCATGCAGAATGTAATCCCTTAAATCTGTATACGGGAGAAGGAGGGTGGAGAGACGTATTCGTGGATGTTTTGTAAACGCAGCCCTGCAATACCTTTTTTTTACAGCAGTAGCAGCCGCAGAGATAAATTAAATCTATTTTTTATTGTACACGATTTGTTTATAACGGATGCGATCATCGCATGGCGCAATACGCAGCGAGTTACTGCTGTAATATACTTTTATGTATGGCAATATTAAATTCTGACTAAATTAAAGTTGATTATTTCATTATAGTTATAGTGTAGTTTTGTGCGGTAGCCCCAATGACGTTATTTGTTTACAATGTTGACAACCGGTATGTTCACGCCCGGCAAAATCGCCGTGCACGGATAGGCACAATTGTACCATATCGCACATCCATTTTTATGTTCTTGGAACCACTCCTTGCGCAGGCATGCACACCTGCGAAAGACGTAAGCAAGTTCGTTCTCCTATTCTCATGTGAAAAAAAAATTGTTTTCATCTATGGGCATTTACAATTCATTACCTCGAATTATTCCCATTATGTTTTCTTATATTTAGAACTGCGGTCTCTTCATAATACTTAATCACGTAAACCAATACTCAATATTTTAAATAATTGGAGATACATTTCCCTCTTGTTTTTGTTCAAGAATGTGCTCCATAGCAGCTACAATAACCAGCGTCGTCGTGTTTTATTTTTGAAGGAGATTGTATCAATGCTGTAACTCTTCCAAGACCCAACTACCCATTGACGTGTAGAACGCAGGTGTATGGCAATATAATGTGATTGTATTATGAATTTGTCTGTGCCACAAATTTAGTTGATCTATATCCTGAGACATATATTAAATTGGTAGATATCTGCAACTATAATCTAAGTACGTCACAAACGCCGGTGTACATCTATGTAATATAATGAATGCGATTACACGTGGTGTCGACAGGAACAGGGAAACATCATGTTTAGTTGATGCATATTTAATTAAAATATTACACAATACATTTCCGACACATGACAGCCCAACTTCTTTATCAGTATAAACGACATATCCATCCTACTGAAAGTATAGCCACATATATATGTACATTTCGACACACCCTTATATATTTAGACAGCTGCTTTTGGGGGAAATTTTGTCCTGGGCGTGAGTCCAATAAAAGTAGCTATGATTTACACTTAATCAATGTATATCGACTGAAGACTGCTCGTTATCTCCATTTAATTAAAGAATGTGCAACTATATATGCACACCTCAATAATCAATAAGAGCTTAGCAAACACATATACAACTTAGCACCAGAGCAATATAAAGAACGAAAAGTATATAAACTGATAAAGCCGTCGGTACCACTCGTTTAATACTGAACAGTTGTATAATGTTGTACCGCAAGATGTGATAAGCACCCTTGTTTTCCCGGAAAAAGACGTCGCTAAGCGACCAATGTTCAACAGAAGGGAGGTCACGTTTCTGTCGTGTCACGGTCACTAATCCGAACTACATAGTACTAGTACGTAATACCATCACCACTACTGGGAAATCATGTGCTTGTTCATTTTTCGACTTGCCTGATTTGTCTGGGTGGGGGGATTTATTGTCTCGTTCAATTTGTACACGAGATGGTCCTTACTGCATTATATATTAGAAATACATGTTTAGTGAAATTTGTTATCCGTCTGATTGTGCGCTATATTGGGCGAAGGTGGAATTATTTGCAGCCGTGAATCATGACACCGCTAATGATACTCTGCCGTATGTAACCATTGATGTGAATAATTCACACTGAACTCAAAGATTACTACAAACATATAGAAATAGACGAACAACACATTACAATGAAGATGCAGTTCTACATGAACCAGTAAACACTCTGTGTACGGTATACAGTTAATCAACTGAACAGATCAAGCACAAGTTTAGAGTCATTATATTTATAATTTAAATATAGCGATGGTTTGGTGAAACATATTCTCTAGTATATCTTCGTGTGTGTATTTAGAAGTATCGAATATTAAGAAAACACGCCAGTACGATAAGGCATATTCACTATATAGTGTGTATCGAAAGTAGGGGATATGATCGGATAGGCAACGGATAGTAGGACAGACAGAAGAGAGAGAGAGAGTAAATGCTTCACTTACCTCCGTATTGACGACTACCATTCGTAACTCATAATCTTTTAGGACGTCTTCATTCTCATTGACGTGCTCTAACGCCAGCAAAGCCGAATCGAGACAGTCATGGGCAATCGGTCCGAGAAAATCTAGGCTGAGTATCGAGTGGTTCAGTGGGAAAAATCCTCCGATGTGAAGGGGAATCTTAGCGTTGCTGCTACCTGTCCACAGGACGATAACTAAGGTGACGGGCAGGAGAATACGCTGAAGAGTCGAGAATGTCATATTTTGCGCCGTCCTGTAAATAACAATCAGAAAAGGGTACATTAAGGAAATATTTCCGCACACACGAACGCTCACCGATTCGGAGTGAGGCAATTTACAAGCCAGGCTAGAGATACATCGAGTAACATCACGTGACCATTCATTGTGTTACGCACATGCCTGATATTTACAGTGAATATTTTTCTAAGGCGTACAGGCGAATGATTACATGATGACGAGAGCTCCTCGCCTAGCCAACACCGGCAATTGTCGTCATGCGATCATTACATGTAAACTGTTGTTCAAACATACAAACAAGAGCGTGTGTGTATTTGATATATACATAGTTTTATATTTGACATTTGCCATTTTCTCTCTCGTAAACATTAAATAAAATACATACAGTTACCATGGTAACGATCCACGATTCCGATGTACTCACGAAAATCATGTCCATCCATAGATTTGATCATTTTAGTAATCGATACGGGAACAATGGGAAGAAAAACGCGCAACGTGAAAAATGGATGTGATCAATGGTTTATTGTATTTTATATCAGAGCGCTGTGGGTCACTGAGTGTTCTGTTCACCGCCCAATACTGACGCAGTGGGTAACTGAGCGTTCAATCCACCGCCTGAGACTGGCTGTTTTATTCCATGAGATTCGGAAAAAACAAATTCATAAAACGTAGTTTCATATGTATTTATAGATATAGTTATCAATTAACTTAACCAACAAGATGTCACGTAGTTGCTTGTTTGTACTTAATTCTTGACAGATTCTCCTAAGACGAAGACCCTCCTGTTTATTGTGATGAAAATGAATTGAGTTGACTCAATACCTTAAGATGTGAATAATCCATTGTACAGAGGGAGAAGAAAAAACAATACTGGAATTTCTATAATTCAACGATTTTTTTTCATACCACGTCACACAGTATGCAGTAACTATAATGAGATCTAAGGCATTATGCATGTAGCGTCAATTAGTCAGGCTTCCCTCCGGACGAATGAAATGAAGAAGTGCTGTTACATCACTGTGACGTGCGAAAGCACGTATCTCTTACGACATTCCTCATCTTACCAACTGCTTAATATTTGGCATATCTTCAAGAGATCTGTTTTAGGACGTCTTCATAATTAATTGTACAGCAAACAACAAAACGCCATTTTCATATGAAAAAATAAAAAAATCCCGCAAGGTACAAACTTTGTTGGGATATAAATACGGAACCAATGACGTCATTATATATTAGATACGAGTATTTCCCATTTTTCGGTGAATGTATTATTGCTCTAGGGGTGATTCGGTTTCGTGATTGATTGAATGTGTTTGCTTCATGTAAGCTGCAATCTCGTACTTAACACACAGGGTACAAAAACGCCTGCTGTATGCGTACTAGAAATGAATGCGGATAGTATGCGCCGAATTTGAAACAAACAAACTCGCGTTCGGGTTTTTTGAACAAGCCCTCGAGTTTTGAAGCACTCCGAGTCGGAATGATCAACAGTTGAGTTGCGGCCGTTATGCATTAAACTATGAGAAAGATATTCTCGTCCCAGAAATCATGCTTTTTTTGCTGTACGCGTAATTGGCATGGGCCTCTGGAGATCTCAATAAAAAGTGCCATTTTAATGATGTGTCACACGAGTAGACCGTCTCAATATAATAAACCGGATGATATATTGCTCGGTGTGGATATACGAGTACACCAGTGTAAAAGGTGACATTTATCAAAATATATTATCAACACTTTTTTTATATAGATTATCATATTATTTTTGGGTAGTTACATATATAGTAGCGGTAGCCATGGCAACATAAATAGTCATTATCGTTTGCCCGGGTTGCATCTCAGCTAATTTGATGCCGTATTAAATAGCTGGTGTAGTGAGAATCGAAGGCGATGCTGTCAATGTCATAGACTACACTAGTCAAACAGGGTGACGAGTACTATATGTTAGTATGCATGTACTTGATATATTAAATCTTATTTTGCCAATCGGCAGATTTAATTTCCGGTCACTACCTTGACATTCGCTTGTTTCGGGCAATTCCTTCATATGAATAGAAGAGATTAAAATGTCGATATTAGTTTTGCAGTAACCTTAGCAGAAGGTCACCTCACGGTACAAGTGTCGATGAACAGTTAGTCGTCACTTCATGCAGTCGACAACGGAGAACGGTCTTTATACCAATGTGAATGTATACGCAAATGTTACGAACAAAGTGAATGGTGTGAATGAAGTGACGAATATTTGAATGTCAATGTAGGACATGAACAAAGGACGAAGAGTCGACGTGTGTATACGTATGGTAATTGATTCGGGGGTTGGGGGGTTTCTCTGAATCGCGCACTGACGGGAGGGTATATTTTACTTCCTGACGAAGCACAATACAATTAGCAGTCCTGGTAGTACTAAATTATCAGACTTGGTCGCAGAATGGTAGCAGAATCCTCCTATTAGGAGTGTGTTGGATGTATAATTTCGGACGGGTTTGCTGTGTATAAACATCGTGTGTTTATATTTATTTAACAAATTCCTAAACCGGACATAACAGCTGGTCAAGACACAAGACAATTAATTGGTCAGTATATCCGAAATCACAGTTTGAAAACCAATTATCTTTATTGGTAGCCGAGTTTAGATTATTAGTTTGTCATTCCTGTCTTAACCAAGATGTATTGCCCAATTTCCAGTGTAAAATCGATAGTTTGATATTCGAAAAGACACAAGGAGTAAAATAATCTTTTTTCACCTCCATGTTTGAAGGTAGCTCCATTTTCGAAATAGAACAATAATCCCAAAGCGCCCTCAACGTCGATCATTTTTGGTGCACTTTTTTACTGACACTCCGACCCAAAATTGAAGTGAGTACGTTCGCAAAGCGCGAAACGTTTTACGTTGCTATTTCAGGGTGTTAACTCTCATTGAATTATCCCAGGGAAAGGATGTATAATAAATAGGTATGCATCAGGCAGTACGGTAACGCATCGGTCGATACGATAACCTTACTGCCTTCATGCAGACTTTGCGGTATTCGCGTAATAACCACATAGGATCTGAAACAATATGCAAATATTGTACTCTGTATATCTGAACCATATGTAAATATGTACTCTGTATATCTGACCAATATGTAAATATGTACTCTGTATATCTGAACCAATATGTAAATATTGTACTTTGTATTATCTGAACCAATATTGTACTCTGTATTATCTGAACCAATATGTAAATATTGTACTCTGTATTATCTGAACCAATATGTAAATATTGTACTCTGTATTATCTGACCAATATGTAAATATTGTACTCTGCATTATCTGAACCAATATGTAAATATTGTATTTTGTATTATCTGAACCAATATGTAAATATTGTACTCTGTATTATCTGAACCAATATGTAAATATTGTACTCTGTATTATCTGACCAATATGTAAATATTGTACTAATGTACACGAGTATAATGTAAATGGTTGCTATGAAGCCATACCAACAAACTACTCATAGAACCATTAACTATAACTAGAAATACAAAAATGGATACATAGGCATGATATAGATATGCATTCCTAAAATCCTTTTTTTGAAAACCTAAATACCCTATCTGAATTTCTTAGTTGGAATTTCCCCCCTAATTATTTAAATTAAAGTTCTTAATGCTCTATATCATTTCTTCGTGTAATTCCATTGAATAAATTTGAGAAATGTGTTAGTATAAGAAGGTTTCAAGCTAATTGTAGAATCTTCAAGTGTTTCTTAGAGAGAGGGGGGATTTCCATTGCTCAAATTGTAATGGAATATTGTAATTTTAAATTTGGTTTTGATTTAATGATTCAATGATTTAATTATTTAGAAGAAAAGTCAATTCTTTGAAATCCTCATATCCTGAGAAATATATATATTATACCTGGCTAAGATTTTGTCACACGCAACGTAATATTACCGTAATTGGTATAGTACAGGTGTGATGGTTCAAATACTAAAATGGCAACAGTAACAGAAAGACTTCCCTGGCGGCGATGATAAAATACGAACACGGAGCCAACAGATGAGGTTTCAACTGGTACTGGTATTATTATGCTCTACAAACATCAAGTACAATAACGCGGTAAAACTCCACTACTCCAATAACTAGATACTTAAACTCCAATACAATTCAACGAGATCTTCGATCTGAACTCAGTGCTGAACAACTCCCCTATATATACCTCCATTGTCTATAAATAGACCAAGACATCAGTATACATAATGAGTCTGGAACTTACTACAAATTTCTAGAATGTTCCATTACCTTCTACTGCCTCCTACAGTGTTCTATTACCTATTCAACCAGTTTCTAAAAAAAATCTAGAATATTCCACCCAGACACAGTACGGTTCTAGAACATTCTCAGTGACACGGAAGTGGTAAATAAGTCGTATGCGACAGAATTGATATTTGATTTGGTAGTGTATTCCCTCAAATGTATTACGAGTCATTTGTCAATATGCATCACTCCATCTTTCCACGTGTTCTGTACATTTCTATACCTAATGCTTGAGTGTACATTTTACCTGCAATTACTAAACAACTAAACAGAGAAGAATACTTCTTGGAATCTGATAATTGCTATTGTGCAGCTATATTTACTATTCTGTTTTTGCATTTATGATATGCAATCTTTACGCCTTCAGACGGTTGCTTAACAAATGAAGTTGAATATATATATATATATCTATCTGCCCATGGCGCTTCAATAATTTGAAGTTGATGCGAGTTGTTATTACAGTAAGGCTAATTCCAATCCACTCATTTAATTTCACAAAGGTCAAATACAGCTTTTTCTAACAGATCATGCACGGGTTCGCAAGGCCAACCATGGAAGGTCGGTTTCAGCGAAAGCGTGTGGATGGACGATGCGACTGTTGTTATACACGTATGTGTTGTTTTGTCAGCTCAACTATTATCTCACTGATACCATGAAAACCATGCTGGCAATACATGATGAGTATTTGAAGATGTCGAGTAA